CCGGGGCGCGGCTCGGCCGCCGCGGCGCTCGCTGGTTGGCGGATTTCCCCCATTTCCGCTCGCGCGGGGATCGACGGGAAGTAAAGAGGCGGAAGTGCGTGCAGTTACCGCGGCAAAGATGGCGGCGACGCTGCGGATCCAGAGCGACTGGAGCCGGGCGTTGAGGTGGGAACGGTTCCTTTCTTTATCTCTGTCCTTGTCCTGTTCCCTGCTCCGCTCACGGCCGCTTCTTCTCTCTGCAGCAGGGACGAGGGCGAGGCGTGGCTGAGCTGCCGCAGCCCCGGTGAGTGGTCTGAAGAGGCCTCGAGGGGGCCATGGGGATGAGGGGGGATCGGGGAGGATCGAGAGGGTGAAGGGTGTTTGGGGAACCCTTTGTGTGAGGGGCTGACGGCGGGGTGCCCTGTGTGTTAGCAAGGAACGGGGCTGTCGGGGTGCCCTGTGGTTCAAACTGCTGCGGGTGGCTGGGCGTCCCTTGGTTTAAAAGGCGTGGGGCTGGTTTGGGGATCCCTTTGGTTTTAAAGGGCGTGGGGTCATTTGGGGGCCCTATGGGACTAGGAGGGCAGGGGGGTGTTTGAGTTCCTGGTGGGCAAGGAAGAGGTGAGGGTGGTTGGGGTCCCTCTGGGTTGGGGTGGGGATGTTTGGGGTGCCTGTAGGTGTTTGGGCTCTGGGGCTCACGGCTGCTGTCCTTCAGGGAAGCCCACCCTGTACGGCAGCGTCACCCGGCGCGGGCTCAGCTCTGACGGCGTCCCGGACATCGTGGCCTCCGAGGGATTCGTGGTCGGGGAAGTCACCAAGGTGCCAGGGCTGGGGGGAGAGGGGTTGCTGACCACCCCCCATACATAAAGGGGGCTGCTCTGACAGCCCAAGCTGCCCCCTGGTCCCTGCCCAGTCCTGTCCTGCCATCCCGAGCCTCCTGCTGTGCAGAGCCCTGGAGCTGGTCCCTACCATCCCACAGGGCTGGAGCAGCCGTTCCTTCCCACCCACATCCTGATGAGATGAGCCCCACACTGACCTCCCAGGCTCTGGGATCTCCCACAGCTGGGTCCAGGCCACAGTTCCACTTTGGTAACCTCTGTTCCAGGATTAACAGCACTTCTAATTCATTTTCTCCTTATTTCTTCCCCTAGAAAAGCATCCTCATTTCTTGTCCTCACGAAAATGCGTGCACAAAGTTCTTGGCTCCGTACACAAGTTTTTGTAGGATTCATCAGAAAAGTGTGAGTAGCCTTGTGAGGTGGGAATCTCTGGGTGTGATTGGCAACTCTCACACCCCTGTCTGTGGTGTCCTCACAGTGAGGGGTGGCCTGGAGTGTGGATTTGTGTGGGAGGGGTTGGAATGGAGATTGAACTGCGATCCTGCGGTTTAGGACTGGTGTTCCCACTGAAACCCCCCAGACCACGTGCTACTCACTCCTTCCCTCTTCCCCCTGCAGCGGGATGGAAACGGGGACTGGAGGCACAAAAGACAAAGATTGGGGTCGAGATAAGAACAATTTACTGAGAACAGCGATGGAATAAAAAAAGAAACAGTAACAGTATTAATTAACAAAACATACAGGACAGGGAAGAGATCCACTCACCACAAGGAACCCAAAACCCAAGCTCCACCCAATATCCCAAACATCTCCTGCCCCTCCCTGCTTCTGTAAAAATTAACCCTGTCCTGGCCAGAACCAGGACATTCCCCACCCATCATTCTATCCCATCTCCTAATGCCCACACCACCCACAAAAGCACTGGAATCATTCCTTAATCAAAGGCTGTCCCTCTTAAACATATTTATATCCATTATACTGCTTTTCCTTGTTATCAGTGAACTTCCATCCCCTCTCATTGGTATCCAGAGGCTTTTTAGCTGTGTCCTTTTGAATTTTTAAATGCTTCTGATTTTTTTTCTCCTGCTGCCATTTTTTCACTTGTACTTCTGAGTCTTATGAAATCAATCCAGTCCGTTCTTTCAGACTTCGTTCTCTTCAACACTTCTCTTTGGGAGCTCTTCTAAAACACCGATCTTTTCCAAGGCTTGGCTTTGTAACGTTTCGGGTTGTTCCGCGCAGGATGCTCGGGGACGTCCGCAGGTAGGACAGCGTAGTCACGGCAGATGGGGCAGGTGCTGGAATGCTCCTGGAGCCATGTCCTGATGCACTTCCTGTGGAATTCATGCCCACACTCCAGTTCACACGAGTTCCTGCCTAGCTCCTCATGGCATATTGTGCAGGGATCATTACTGGAGGCTGCGTACTCCTTGGGCTGTATTTCCAAGTGGGACAAGCTGCCGTGTGGCCAGGAAGAGGGTTTCAGTGCATAGTCCCAGATGAAGGCCTTTAATTTTATCACCTTTAGGGACCTATTCCACGTGAGTGATGAGAACACCTCGGCAAAGACCGGTGGTGCGCTCTTGGTGAACGCCTCCCAGATGTGCCAGGTGCAGTAGGCGTCGTCCGGATCGCTGAGGTACCGACTGTTCTGCGTATTCCCAAAGAGGATGTCCGCCATAGTTAGCTCTGTCAGGTACTGAGTACCTTCCCGTATGCTGTTCCAGCTGTCCCGGTACACCAGCAGGTCATCCGCGGTGTACACGTCCCTCACGCTCCACACCAGCCGCATCCAGAGGCTGTGAGTTCCCGTCTTCCTCCAAATGCCCCTGTCAATGGCCATATTCTGGGACAGGCGTCCCAGCTGCTTGGCTTCGTATCTGTCTAGGAGTACATCCACATCAGCTCCTGCAAACCAGCACTCGTACAGCCACAGCAGCATGGACTGACCTGGAGGGCGGGAGAAATTCTGATAGATTTCTCGCAGCTTACGCTGGGATTCACTGATTGGCTCTGACTCTTCATCCTCTTCATCCCTCGCTAAGGAAACCGATTTGGTCTCGGATGTGCTCTGTTCAGGAGCGACTGTTCCCAGCGTGGGTTGTTCCTCTGGTGGAGCTGCAGCTTGAGTGGCCACGGCGCCTGCTGCTCTGTTCTCTTGCTCTTCCTTCTCCTCCTGAGGGGACTGGCTGCTATCCAGCAGTGTCCGATAAAGAGTAGCCAGGGCCCAGCACAGTGCAGTAAGTTGCTCCTCCCTGGAACCATCGCAGCGTTTCTCTTTCAGATACTCTGCCACTTTAACAGGGTCCTGGATTTGTTGAGGGGTGAACTTCCAAACCACTGGAGCTGAATACTCCTTCAAAACCTGGCCGATTTTCTCCCAGCGTCCATGCCACTCATCATTATCTGACCTCTGGAAGACCTTGCCAATAATCTCTTTTGTAACTCTAAAGATGATGTAGATCCTAAAGATGATGTAGGCCAGAGCCAGGAGACACAGCACACACAACAACGATATCCTTCCTTCGATATTCAGAGGGAATCCAGAATCCTCAAAAGCTGCTATAAGAGGCTTGAAGGAGTCAAAAAAGACTAGAGGGTTGTGAAAATATTTGTAGCCTGTTCCCCCCATGAACTGGAAACGATTATTAATGATCTCCTGGAGGTAGTATATCATGTCACGAGTTGATACCGCATAATCTACGCACATAAGAATCTTGAACCATCTCTCTACACTCTTAAAGTGCGTTATCAGGACCACATAGGGAATTATAAACCTGTACAGGTACCAGTCCACTGAGGGCAGACAAAGGCACATCATGACCAGCGACTGTACCTAGCACACTCGGCTCAAACTTGCTTCCACCCCGCTGCGGGCAGAGCTGTTCTTATCTCGGCCCTCGGTGCCGCACGATGGATGGGGCTTGCGGCGCTTCGGGATTGGTATTCCCGAAATTTAGCGTTCCCACGGGGGAGGCTGCAGCGGGGAACCGGAGGCACCAAAGGCAGCGCTCGGGGACTGAGACCACAACAACTCACTGGGAACAGCAATGGACAGGGACCGACCGCGGGGACCAGGCTGGCAAGAAGGGAAGCCGGAAAAAAAAGCCGGGAAAAAGGACTTTTTCCCGCCGGCGCACGGAGGGTGGGATAGGAGAACATCCGCCTCCGGCCCTGCCCCTCCTGCTGCCGGAAAACTTAACCCCGGCGTGGCTCAAGCTCATCTGCATTTCCTCCTGCCCTTGGATTTTACCGCTGTAGCGGGTCTTCCCCCTACAGCCTGAAAATTCCATTCAAAACATGCAATGCAAATGCAGCTCACAGAATCACAGAATTCCTCGTTGGGAAAAGACCTCTGAGCCCATCGAGTCCCAGCTGTGCCCAATGCCCACCCTGTCCCCAGCCCAGAGCACTGAGTGCCACCTCCAGCCCTTTCTTGTGCACCTCCAGGGATGGGGACTCCAAACCTCCCTGGGCAGCCCCTGCCACAGTGTAAAACCCCTTTCCATGAGGAAATTCCTGCTGATGTCCAACCTGGCCCAGCCTGAGGCCATTCCCTGTCCTCCTGTTCCCCCTCGGCTGTCCCCTCCTGTCAGGGAGTTGTGCAGAGCCAGAAAAGTCCCCTGAGCCTCCTTTTCTCCAGGCTGAGCCCCTTCCCCAGCTCCCTCAGCCTCTCCTGGGGCTCCAATCCCTTCCCAGCTCTGTTCCATGCCCTGAACACACTCTAGCCCCTCCATGTCCTTCTTCTGAGGGGCCCCAAGTTTGAACAAAAAACAAGAATAGTTTTGTTTCAGTACTTCAGCAAATTTAGGCTGTGATTTTGGCTTCATAAATATCTCAAACTTGTGGGCTTGTGAGTCGGGCCAGTTACTGTGAGCTGTTTTCTTATTTCTCATTTACAGGACCTGTTAGAGAAGTCCAGATTTCTCTTCTACCTGGGATAAACCTGGAATACAACTACAGGCTTTTGCCTCACATTCCTTTTTCTCCTTGCCCTGCAGAGTCACAGGCAGAGAATGTACTTAGCAGGTTTCCCCCTGTTCAGAATTAGGCTCTTGAGCAGAAATATTTATATACAGAATAATATAAAGCTAATTCTTGGTGCTTTTACCTTCCTGTAGATTACCTGCCTTGATATTTCCAGTGGTGGAGGACTTGGTGTGTCTACCAGCACAGATGGGACCATGAAAATATGGCAGGCTGCAAATGGAGAGATAAGAGTAAGAGCATCTGGCTTGGATGTTTTGTGTTGTCTGTGACATTCCTGAAATCCTGAAGGCCATGACTTTGGTCAGGCTGTCCACACCCTGTGAAGAATCTTTTAATTTTAATGAAAAGCTAATTGAAATTGGGCGTTTTGGAGGCTTTAAGTCAAATCTGTTGGAAAAGGTGGCTTCTCCCAAGGGGGATGTTGCTCAGAGAGGTACTCAGGAATAACAGGAATAACTGACAGCCCCTATCCTATGTGGTAAAAGCACTCAATCTCTTACGAAAGAGAGAAGAGGGGAGGAAAAAAGATTTTGGTGCTGGATTAGCTGGATTGGCTACATCCTGGCTTGTGGCCTTTCCAGTAAAGGGGTAAAGCTCCTTTTCGTGGAGTTTCACCTGTCAGCTCCTTGTTTGGCAGAGGATAAAGATGTTTAACCCATAATTAGAAGCAAATGTAGTATCTTTTTCTATGTAATTAGCTGCTCAGATGGTAAAGGGAGGCCCAAAGTCACCTCTTTGACTGCCCCAAATTCAGACCAGTCCGTTCCAGCAACACAGACCCAGAGGATCTGAGTTTAATCCTTTGCCCATGTGAGAATGCCAAATTTTCCAGTGTCATAACAACTGCTCGGCACGAGGATGATGACAATGGAACTAGCACGTAGTTCTTTGTTTTTCCAGAGACTTTTGGAAGGCCATGTGTATGATGTGAATTGTTGCAGGTTTTTCCCATCTGGCCTCGTGGTTCTGAGTGGGGGAATGGATGCCCAGCTAAAGATCTGGTCAGCAGAAGATGCCAGCTGTGTAGTAACATTTAAAGGTCACAAAGGAGGTACAGAGCTCTGAAAATGCTTCATTTGCTGTGTGTGTACTTGCCTTGCACTCCAGGGCTGATGCCCAGTCTCCAGCTTGCTGCACTCTGTGTTTGGCGTCTGGAATGTGGCATCAGATGCCCCAAATGCTACCCCAAATTATCACTTCCCTGAGCTACCAATTGCTGTGTCCAGGCTCTGGTTTTCCCTGTCCCATGAGGTGCTGGGCTTGATTGAGAGGTTAATAAACCCCATGTCTGGCTGCCCTAAGCTTGATTAACTCAAAAACCCATCTTGTGTTGAATCTGCTGTTGTTCTTACATGATTTGGGAGTTGGAACTTGATCTTCAAGGTCCCTTTCCCACCCAAGCCATTCTATAATCCTTTTGTGTGCACTGAAAGTGCTTTTGCAGCAATGTCCCCTAACCAAGCCAGATGGTGTGACAGAACCTTGGTCAGTGATGCTGCCAGTCACTCCCAGGTGACTTTAGTCACTGCTTATTCCTCCAGCCCAAACTGCTGGAGTCTGTTTGCTTGGCTTATCCCTGTCCTTTGAGCTTCAATAGGGAAGGTGCCAATTAAATCTTCCGACCACCTGCCTCTTCTCTGCTAAGAAAACCACTGTCATTTTTCACATCCAAATTTGACAGCCCACAGTAAAATAAAGTAGTTAAGGGATCTTAGAGCCAGCAGGCACTGCTCTTTGGATGTTGCTGTAGCTGGATAACAGGGATTCTGCTTTTGGGGTTATCCAGGGGTGGATATGGGAACATTTAAAAGTGCCAGGCTCTTTTCTGCCCAAATTAGAGCTTAATTTTGTGTGGCACCAGCTTGGGCTGAGGTGAGGTGTTGCTGATCATTTGATTGATAATATCCTCCCTTTGTGCCAGATGGTGGTTCTGCTCTGTGAGGTTTTCTGGGAGCTGCTGCCTTCCACAGGCACCTTTATCTAGAAGCACAACTTGTCTGTGTGTGACTTCTGTCACTGGGGACAGTAGTCGAGTTCAGCTTGGGAAATTAGGTGCTTTTTTGTGTCAGTACAAACACAGTCTTTGATTTCATGCAGGTATTTTGGACACTGCCATTGTGGATCGGGGAAGAAATGTCCTGTCCTGCTCCAGGGATGGCACTGTCCGTCTCTGGGACTGTGGGAAATCTGCCTGCCTGGGCGTCATCGCCGACTGCGGCTCTCCCGTCAACGGCATCGCCGTGGGCACTGCTGACAACTCCCTGAACCTGGGCTCACCTGAGAAACCTCCCAGTAAGGGGCTTTCCTTTAAAATCCCCCTTCTTTTCCCTGCCCCAAGCTGCTTAGGGTTGTCACCAGTAATCCCAAGTGTCTGCAATGCTGCTCCATGCCCTTGTACCACCTTGGTAAGGGAGCAGAGTGCTCCAGTCCTGGGTAGAATTCAGCCCTATCAAGCGGTCTGAGTGATGGAGACTGAACTCTGTGTGGTTACTGGCCCTCTTGGTGTCTCAGGATCTGGAGGAATCTTGCCACAATTCAGCTGGGGTGATCCAAGCTGTTGGGTTCTGATCCCATCAAGATTTGTTGTGTAGCTACTGCTGGTATTACCTGTTGTCCTTTTGCCAGGTGAGCGTGAGGTCGGGACAGAAGGGAAAATCCTGCTGCTGGCTCGAGAGGACAAGAAGCTTCAAGGAGTGGGACTGCAGAGCAGGCAGCCAGTAAGGACCTGGGACTGTCAGAGCACTGGAACGGGGAATTGAGCCAGGTTAAACCTAAACTGGAGGAGAGGCCAAAGCCTGGTGCAGTAAGGGATGTTCTCTCCTTCCTGGACAGATTTTTATGTGAGGAGTAAGAATTGCTCAGGATTTAACTTGGAAACCGGGAAGACAGTATTTAAAATTAAACAGTGGCGGCTGTACTGTCTTCTAAATAAATTTGTAATAATAATAATAATAAAATAATGTAATAATAAAGTCCTGGGTGTCCCACGAGTCTAACACATGGTTTGTTCCCAAATCCTCAGGTGTTCCTCTTTGTTGGATCTGATGCCTTCAACTGCTGCACGTTCCTGTCAAGCACCTACATTCTGGCAGGGACTCAGGATGGGAACATCTACCAGCTGGATGTGAGAAACACAAAGTGAGTGTGTGCTTGGGGCAGACAACCAGTGTTTTGGTTGGAAAAGAGAGTCAGGCAGAGCTTGCCACCAGCCAGTGCCACTTTCAAGGGGTGCATTCCATTGCACCAGGAGCTCCTGAGCCTCTTGCATTATGTTGTGTGTGTTGTTATATAAACATTTTGATAATTTTATGTTTGTATCATCTGTGTGCACATACGTGCAGCAATATTCTCCCCTCCCACACAGCCCATTTCTTTCCCTCACTTGAGTCTCTTTGTAGGATCCTGACATTTACCCTGGTCCTCATTCCAGCACAGGACTGGAACTGAGCTGTGGAACTTTCCTGCTGTTCCCTGCTAACTCGGTCCATAGGAAAGAATCATGGAATGGTTTGGGTTGGAAGGGACTTTAAATCTCATCCAGTTCCACCCCTTCCCATGGGCAGGGCCACCTTCCACTACCCCAGCTTGCTTCAAACCCCATCCAGCCTGGCCTTGGACACTGCCAGGGATCCAGGGCCAGCCACAGCTTCTCTGAACAACAATCCTCATCCCTTGTTTCTCCTCCTTTTCCTAGTGCTCCAGTCCAGGTGATCCATAGATCAGGAGCACCAGTGCTTTCCCTGCTCCCGTACCGAGATGGATTTATTGCCAGCCAAGGTAATTCCAGGGCTGTTTTGTGCCTGTAGAAATCCTATGATCAAATTAAGGAACCTTGTGCTCTTTGGGCATTGTCCTGTTGCCCCTTTGCTTTGGGATTTCCACCCTCCATGTCCCTCAAGAGGGCCTTCAAGGCACATCTCACCCTCTGGAGCCTTTTCCTGATGGAATTTCTGTTTGTAGTTCAGAGCGTGGGTTGCTTCACTAATTGGCTGCTGTGCCTTCCTTGCAGGGGATGGCACCTGCTTCATTGTTCAGCAAGACCTGGATTATGTCCTGGATCTCACCGAGGCCGACTGCGACCCCGTGTACAAGGTCGGGAACGTGGGGTGTCCCTGAGGAGAAAGTGGGCAGGGAAAGCTGGTGCCAGGCAGGAGGCAGCTGCCTTTACCTCAGGTTTTTCACCTCAGCAGGTTCCTTCACACAGTTGACTTTTGAGTTTATTTTTTTTCTACCTGAATAATCCTTAATATTTTGCATAAACCAATCCTCTGCAGAATTTCCTGGCTTTATCTCCGTTGTGCAGGAGCTGACTGGGATGGTGGAGTTGGAGCAGCTCTGGCAGAGCTCTGTTCCTAGAACAAGTGTGGATAAAGGGTGCTGAGAGAATCCTGAGGGTAAAAGCAGTGGTGCTGCCTGACTCATCTTGGGGAATTTGGGGCCAGGAATGGGGTCTAGCTGTGTGTTCCAGACATCCAACTGTGCTTGCACAGATCAGGGAGTGCAGCCTGGAAATGGGCCCTTGTTTTTAGCCTGTCCTAGCTCCACAGTCCTGTTCTCCATATCCCACCCAACACAGCCCCTCAGGTGAACACGCGGGGGGATTGAGGTTTGACCTGCACAACTCAAAGCAGGAAAAACGCTTTTCCACACTTAATTTTCCCTTGGGATCTGTTAGAAGAACCCTTGTGTGGGGACACATCTGATCCCTAAACTCTGGTGATACCTGGAAATGTCCTTTAAAAGCTGCTACTGGTGTTCCAGGAGAAATTTCCCTCCTCTTTCCTTTGTGAAAGTCCAGAAGGAAAGCTGGATTTCACTGGGAACCGTCACTTGGAAAACTCTGTGTAAATACTGATTTTTTTTCTTTCTTCAGGTGGCTTCTTGGGAGAAAGAAATCTACACTTGCTGCAGGGATGGGATAGTGAGGAGATACCAACTTTCTGACCTTTAAGTGTTTGAAGGGGCCAAATAAAGGAGAAGTGTGTCGGAAAGGCTCTTCCAAGCTGATTTTCCTGGGATGTGTGTGTACAAGTTTGAGGCTGTTGTGATGACCAGGCTCCATACACAGTATTTTTGTAACGGGTGGTGTTTTTTCCTATTACACAACTGGGATCAATTTTTAATTGAGAGAGGATCTCGTGTTGCAATGATGTTGTGATTTCAACTCCAGTGCTGAAAAAATGTAGTTGGGGGGAAATAAAGAAATAAATGGGTAGAGGGGGGTGCAGTGAAAGTGTCTGTCATAGTATGGAGCGAAATAAACCGCTGCTTTGATAACAAAGTGTTCATACATGCGTTTTCATGAGAACTTGTGGATTTTTAAGAAAAAAGAGATGGGAGTGAGGGTTGAGCGGGCCCGGCGGAGTGCGGAAGTGAGCGGGAGAACTATGTTTCCCGTGATGCCTCGCGCGGCGCCGACCGGAAGTTGTGCTGCTATAGCAACGGGACGCCATGGGGCTGGACTACTACGCCGTGCTGGAGCTGGATCGCGGGGCCACCGCCGACGACATCAAGAAGGCGTGAGGGATCTCCGGCATCAGAGAGAGCCCCTGGGCCGGGGGGCAGCCGGGGGGCGGCGGTGGGAGTGGGGCGGCCCCGTGAGTGGCTGTGCTCGGCCTTCCCCCGGGCTGGATGTGGGAACGGCGTGTCTCCTGTCCCCTTCAGTGGGTCTGGAGGGGCCATGGCGATACTCTGAGGGCTGGAGCCAGGCTGGGAGAGCTGGGGGTGCTCACCTGGAGAGGAGAAGGCTTCAGGGAGAGCTCAGAGCCCCTTGCAGGGCCTGAAGGGGCTCCTGGAGAGCTGGGGCACAAGGCATGGAAGGACAGAAAAAGAGAGAACCCCCAGAGGGCAGGGTCAGAATGGGATACTAGGAAGGAAATTGTGGCTGTGAGGGTGCAAAGAGCAGCTGTGGCTGCCCCTGGATCCCTGGGAGTTGCTCCAAGCCCCGTCCAACCTGGGATAGTGGAAGGTGTCCCTGCCCACAGCAGGGGGTGGGAATGAGATGAGCTTTAAAGCCCCCCCAAACCATCCTGTGATCCTCAGTTATCGGAAGTTGGCCCTGAAGTACCACCCATTAAAATGCAAGGAGCCCTGGGGGCCGAAGAGGTTCCAGCAGCTGGCAGAGGCCTACGATGTGCTCAGCGACCGTAAGTGGGGAGTGACCCCTTGCACTGATTGCAGGGGCAGGAATGGGGTGTGAATTCCTGGTTCCTGGCAGGACCACAGTGACCCACAGCCCAGCTGGGAACTGGCACATGCTCCCATGTCTATCCTGCAAACCCTCTTCTCCAGCCTCCACCCAAACAAGACTTGCATCTCAGGCTGGGGCTCTCCCTCGATTCCCAATGCTTCCTTGTTCCCCAAGCTATGAAGAAAGGCATCTACGACAAATTTGGGGAAGAGGGGCTCAAAGGTGGCATCCCCTTGGAGTTGGCGAGTGACAACCCTTGGAGCGTCGGATACGTGTTCCACAACAACCCTGATAAAGTCTTCAGGGAGTTCTTTGGAGGGGACAACCCCTTTGCAGGTAGGCTGGGAGACCTGGAGGTGTCAGCTTTCCCCAGCTGCTCCTTTCTGGGATTCCCATCAAAAAGAGGGATTAGGGAGGCGAGGCTGCCATAAACGCTCCTGGAAGGGAAACGCTTCGGGTGGTTCTGGGTGGGAGAAGATGGGAGGTAAAGACCCTGGAGGGACCCCCAGCTCTGACCCCAGTGAGGGGCTGTCCCTCTGCTCCCTCACACAGAGTTCTTTGCTGAGGATGGCTCGGAGGTGCTGCTGCCCTTTGGAGGGCCCCGAGGCCGGGGGGCCCTGCGGCGGGACCCGCCCATCGTGCGGGATCTCTACGTGTCCCTCGAGGACCTGTTCCATGGCTGCACCAAGAAGATTAAGATCTCCCGCAGGGTAGGGGGCGAAGGGGGCAGATTTTGGGGTGAGCTCTGCCCTCCACACTGAGGATTTGGGGATGGCCCTGCCCCAGGAGCTTGTCTCAGGGAGGGATTAGCACCAAACCCAGAAGGACCTGAACCAGTGTTCTTTTCCCCTAGCCTGGCAAAGGGAATTCAGCACAGGAGGCAATGGGGGAGCGGGTAGGAAGCGAGGGCTGATCCCAGAGATGGGTGGAGAAGGAGCTCTTTGTGTTCTGGCCTCAAATAATCCCATTTTCACATTGCATTGTGTCTCCTTTTTGTCCCCTTGGTGACCTCTGTCCCCCTCCTTGTTCTCCCAGTCTCCTGGACCCAGCCCTGCATCTCTCCTGCTCTAGGACATGAGGAAACAGCCTTGAGCTGTGCCAGGGGAGGTTTAGGTTGGATATGAGGAAATATTTCTGGACTGAAAGGGTTGTCAGGCATTGGAATAGGCTACCCAGGGCAGCAGTGGAGTCCCCATTCCTGCAGGGATTTAAAGCTGTGTGCTTGTGGCACTTGGGGATATGGGTGAGTGGTGGCCTTGACAGTGCCGGGGTAACAATTGGACTCCATGATCTTGGAGGTCTTTTCCGAGCTAAATGATCCCATGATCCTGTGATCTGATCCTGTTTGTACCCACGGCCACTTTGATGTGGAGGACAAGCCACCCTTGGCCTTTCCTCTGGTGAGCAGAGCACTCTGACCCTCCCTCTCTGTGCACCCGCAGGTGATGAACGAGGATGGGCAGACAAGCACCATCAGGGATAAGATCCTAACGATTGATGTACAGCCGGGATGGAAGCGAGGCACCAGGATCACCTTCGAGAAGGAAGGAGACCAGGTAAGCACAGAATCACCCAAGAGTCAGGTTTGGAAGGGACCTCTGGAGACCACCTCACCCAACAGCCCTGCCCAGGCAGGGTCATCTGTAGAAAGAACTCATCCAGGTGGGTTTGGGATGTCTCCAGAGAGGGAGACTCCATGCTCCAGTCCTGTGCCCACTCCATGGAAAAAGTTCTTCCATGAAGAAGCTCTGGTTTCCCATTGCTGAGGGCAGCAGGACCAACAGAGAGACTCAGCATTACTGTGCCCAGAAGCACTCTGAGGAGCCATCCCTGCCTGGATTTTCCTTAGAACAGGCTGAAGAACAAAGAATTGAAAAGGGGTGGGTTTTCTTCCTGACTGAAACAGTTTTGGATTTGCTCATGGCTGAGCAGGCATCTTGGATAAAAGATTCCTTTTTCTCTTAAGGGAAGAAAGTACCTTTCCCTTCTCTTCTAGCCAGCTGAAAACAGCAACAAAAGAGCAGGAATTTGTGGCAGTTTTCCCTGTATAAAATAATTTTCAGTTTTCCAAGGACAGGCTGGATGTGGCTTGGGGCAACCTGGTCCACTCATGGCAGGGGGTGGAACTGAGTGAATTTTAATGTCCCTTCCAACCCAACGATCCTGGCATTCCATGATTCTGTGATCTTTTTCCCTCTCAATTAGGGCCCTAACATCATTCCAGCTGACATCACCTTTGTTGTCCAGGAGAAGCTTCACCCCAGGTTCAAAAGAATCGACAACAACCTCCTTCATGTTGCCAGCATCCCCCTGTCAAAGGTAAAAGGCTGAGTGAGGGGACAGAGCTCCACCTTTGGGCTCTGGGGCTGCAGCAGCAGCTGCTGGTGCCACTCCATGCCCAGCAGGCGCTGACTGGATTCACCCTGGATGTGTGGACGCTGGATGGGAGGCTGCTGAACATCCCCATCAATGACATTGTGGAGTAAGTGCCAGGGGAAAACAGGCTCAGGGCTGAGCACACACTTGGGAGGAACTTGGCCTGCTCCAAAGCCTTTTCCAGCAGGTTTGGGGCTGCAGGAGGAGGAGGAGGATGCCCACAGTGGGTAGCTCTTCTGGTCTGGGGCTGTGTTGCTGGGAGCAGAAGCAAGGAGAGGGCTGGGTGTGGGTGGATGAGGGTGGACGCTGGAGCCTGGAAGAGGAGGACAGGCCTTGGTTGAAGCTGGAGGAGCAAATAACCTGAGAAACCCAGCTGGGGCTCTGCAGGTGGGGCTGGGGATCATGGCCCCCACGTTGGGATCATCCCATGGCCCCTCTCAGCCCCTTCCTTTGCTTGGCAGCCCCAAGTACTACAAAATGGTGCCAGGGGAGGGAATGCCGCTGGTCCAGGACCCCCAGTGCAAGGGGGACCTCTACATCTACTTTGACATCCTCTTCCCCAAAAGGCTCAGCCCTGAGGTGAAAACACTCTTGAAAAGCATCCTCCAGCCCTAGGGACAGTGACCTTCCCCCTCTCCCCCTCCCTTATTTCCCCCCCCAATAAAGCTTTGGAGCCAGCACTGGGACTCGGCAGAAGTTCTTCCAAATGCTGAGAACCGTAAGCCACAGGATCACCCTAAAACAACAGCCCTGAGGCCTGGCCTGGGTCCTGCTGGCTTTGTGGTCTCTGCTCCCACCCTTCAGCAGCAGCTCTGCAGCCCCAAGGGAGGATTTGGGGGGATAGAGGGAGGCACCCATGGCCAAGACCCTGCCCACTGGCCTCAGTGCTTTATTTTCCTAATCCCAGAATCTGTCCCTGCCCAAGCTGAGCCCTGACAGTGCAGGGAGAGGTCAGGTAACACTTGTGTTGCCTTTTCCAGTGGCACTCCAGGGCTAGGAGAATGCCCTAAAAAGGGAGGAAACGCTGACCCTGCTGCAGTCAGACCCCATAGGGGAGGTTTATTGCAAGTGCCAGTAGGGAATAACAGGAAGCTGTGCTGGGAAAAGCAGCTGAAGGGAACATTCCAGGGATATCCCCATCCCAAAGCCAGTGTGGGTTGGGATATTTGGGGTTTAGTCAGCACAGTGAGGTTGTGGGTGCTCAGTGGGGCATCCCCCACTCACCCTTTGGAGAGACCAGTGAGAACATCCTGGGTGAGGGATGAAGGCACCTGGGCACAGGGTCTGCCTCACCACGAGCCAGGAGCATGTCCAGAGATCAGCTGAATCCTAGGAAATTCCCTCAAGTCTCCCACAGGGACATCAGTGGGGCTGTGGGGATGAGGGTTATAAATAGCCAGTTCTTTGGGATATAAACCTGGCATTGTCCTGATCCCGGCTGAGATCTCAGATCCCTGAACACCACAGCTCCATCACCCCAGAGGAGCTCTGCAGATTCCAAATGGAATTCTGGAAACAGCCTCCAAACTGTTGTAGAATAATTCTTTAGAATGTCTCAAAGGGCAGCAGCTCCTGCACCCCTGAGCACCACAATTCCATGATCCCAAGGGATCCATGGCTGCAGACCTGCTGCTCCTCGGGTTCTGCACAGCCAGCCGGGATCCTGCATTCCCGGGAAAGGGACATTAAACCGGGAATCAGGGAATCCCTGCACACCTCCACTGTGAGAGGTGACACCAATGCAAATAGAACAGTGCCCCGCTCCAGCATTTTGCATCCTTACCTGTTTTAGCCATTAAAAATATGCTCCTTTTTCTTACTCTATTCTTTGCCTATTTTATTACAACCATTTTCATCCCAGATCCCACTTGTCAGTTACTCAATCATTTACCATTGCACTTTGGACAAAATAAGGGACACCAGGGATGCTGGACCACAGGAAATCTGCAGGAGAAACCCATTAGAACCCAACAGAGAAAGGTTTCAAGGCATTCCACAATGCAGAAATCTGTCCATGCCTTGTCAGGCTGCCCCAGTTCTGTCACATCCACCTGAGCTGTGCAGGTGAGGCCAAGGCTCCCCTTCCACCTGGGAATATTAATAGTCATAATATTGTCAATAACAGATATGAGATATCAATATCAGACATTGCCAATATCATACATTGCCAATATCAGATATCAGATATCTATCAATATCAGACATTGCCAATATCAGACATTGCCAATATCAGATATCAATAACAGGCATTTCCAATATCAGATACCTATCAATATCAGACATTGCCAATATCAGATATCAGATATCAATATCAGACATTGCCAATATCAGATATCAATATCAGACATTGCCAATATCAGATATATCAATATCAGACATATCAGATATCAATATCAGACATTTCCAATATCAGATATCAATATCAGACATTTCCAGTATCAGATATCAATATCAGACATTGCCAATATCAGATATCAATATCAGTATCAGAGATTGCCAATATCAGAGATTGCCAATATCAGAGTTCTCTGCCCACCAAGGACACCCCAGCCAGGAGGGACATTTCTCCCACTCTCCAACAGAAACCTCAGGTACATTTTCCAGCCTGGCAGGTGCTCCACTGGGCAGCTGTCCAGGCCAAGTAGCTCCTCTGGATTTGTGCAGTAATTGGAGCTAAGAAAGGGACATTAACCAAGTATTCCAGGCTGACTGGAATTAAAAGATGCTGGCCAGAACATTCTGACTGGGAATTTCATGCAAGAGCCTGAGGAAGATGAGACACCTGCTGGAGTGGGCTGTACATGGATAATCCAGCCATGAGAGGGCAGTGAGACCCAGCTCAGAGTGAAAAACATTTCGTTTACAGAGCACTTCTGGCTTTTGCTCTGCCAGTCTGCTCAGTGAGAAATTGTTTCAAAATTCCCATGACCTCTCTCTGCTGCGGGGCAAATCAATACATGGGTTTGCTTCTGCTCGTGCTGGGAGGAGAAATGAATCCCAAAGAAAAAAGCTTTTACAGCTGATGGGAAAGGTTAAAAACAGTAAGTAGGCAACACTACCCTGTGTGTTGTTTGTCACTGCAGTTGTGCCACAGAACCTCTTCCAAAACATCAGAGAGCACCCCAAAACCATAAGCAGGCAAACCCCAAGGGTTCCCCATTCACTCCTAGCTCAAATCACTTTCCTTGACATACATTTTATCACCGAGAGACCTTATAATTATCTTATCCCCAAAATGTTTATTGTCTCCCCTCCAGATTACATTAATTTTTCCCTCCAAAATATTCGTTGTAGCTTAATAGATCTACTCAAGTTTTATTCACAAATTTTCCCTCTCTCCACTACTGATCACCTCAGTTTACCTCAAAATATTTGTTCTCTATCATGGAGATGACCTCAGATTTTAACCTCATAATTTTCACTACCTGGAAACTTTAATTACCTCATTTTTACCTCAAAATATTCATTGTCTCCCCGACAGATTAACTCAGATTTTATGCCCAAGCTCTTCACTTTGTCCCCTATAGATTACCTCAGATCTTTCCTCCAAAATGTTCGTTGTCTCCTACACTTCACAAAAAAAAAAAAAAAAAAAAAAAAATTCCATAATTAAAAAGAGAAAGTTGCTGAAAAGCAGTCAAAATTCTCAGTGAAAAAAATAACAGCATGGAACTAGGAAAACCAGCTAAGAGCTGAAGATATTTTTTTATTTCCTTATGATCTGCAATAAGTGATAATTTTACACTGGGAATGAACACTTGGTTCCTCTTAAAGGGAGGACGGAGTTGCAACGCATTGTCAGTGTCATGAATTGTTTTACCACTCGAAGAACTTCCCAATTTTCTCAGTGTGGCAAAGAGAAGGTTCAGAGGAGGAATTAAAACCCAGGGATGCACCTTGCTTTTCTAACTCGCTGCTTAGCTGTGCCAGAGTTTAAAATGTTAAAATTCCTGAGCACCCTCACCTGGCTCTGCTCTGTTGGTTGAGCTGAGTCACCTGAAAATACAATTTTCAAAATTACATTACTTATAATTAATAATAATACATCATGATGATATGTTGTTATTTCCCCCAAAATAACTTTCTGAGCAGTTTTTTCGCAGCCGTGTCCCTGCAGTGGTTCCCGGGGAGGCCGGGAGAGGGCACATCTCCACAAGGGATGGATTTCACTGCTGCTCAGCAGTGCCAGGGAGCATTTTCACTCTGCTCACTCAGGAGCTCGGGGTTTCACCACGTAATGCTGCGGCTTTTCTGCTTTCCTTTCTCCCCCTCTTTGCTCCTCGGGATGAATTTCCAGGCTGGCTGGAGGCTGCTTCGCTTTGCCACTTGGAAGCAGGAGGTTTGTGGAATAAAATCTGTTTGGACTCAAAATTGTTCAGATGGAGCCACAGAGGAGCCTGCAGGACCCTCGTCTGTGCCTTCCCCGAGGTTCCTGGGGGATGATGTGCTATTATTACTGGGATGCTCTCTATGAAAATCCCAGAACCCTGAGAAAAGACAGATTTTTCTCGTCTGGAGAGTGCACAGGAACTCACATCTGTCTCTTGTTTCTGATACATGTTATAGAAGTAATAAAATGTAGCAAGCATTCATTTAAGTCATACTGAGAAGCAAATTTTCATGCTTTGACAGAAACTCAAACCATTTCACTTATCTTTACAGAGTGAGGCCGGAAACATGAGAACTTGCCTATTTAAAGCTTTTATAAATAGACCCTAATTGAGTTTTCGGTGACACTGTGATACTCCAGAAATGGAGCCCACAGCCTAAACGTTGAATGGCAAACCCTTCAGCAGCAGCTAATTAACACTGCTGGTGCATCTCAGACAGCCCCTGAGAGAACCAAAACATCTACCCACTGAAGAGCTATTTAAAAATACCTGGGCCAGAGTGACTTCACGCAGCGATTCCTGTGTGAGTAACTCAGCTCTGCGTTGTTCACATTTCAATTGTTTTCTGCCATTCTGTTTCAAATCACCAATTTCTCGGGCAGGGAGCAGCACACATCCCAGAGGGGAATGGTGGATTTCGGGTGAACCCCTGGAAGCCGCTGTTTCTCTCAAAGTCCCGCTGGGTTTTGCCGGCTGTTCTTTAAACCCTGCCTAAGCAGAGCTCTGCTTTACACCAGACCAGCGGGGCTGGTGAGAAAGGAGGGATCACTTTACAAAGCTCCCTATTTGAGCAGGGATTAACAAGGCTTGGAGGCAATTTGCAAACACACAAACTCTTCCTGGCTGCTGCTTCCAGAAGCGTTTTCTTAGAGCATCAGGCAGCCCCAGGGATGCAGAGGATGCAGACGGCTTGGCTTAGCTGTGCCAGTCCCCCTTCACAGGCTGCTGTGAAATTCCAGGCTGTCCATTCCCTAAATCCTTGCTGGGGTACAAACCCAGCCCATGGCTCAGGGACACCACTGGCAAACCCCTTTTCCTGCTCTGCAGTTTTGACTGAGGTGCCTGTGAGCCCCTAAGGTTTTATTTAGAAATAACCCACCAAAAGGGACCACATTCCCTTCAGGGCACGTTTCCTTAACAAAACTCTGGCCAGTCAGGTTGCTTCTAACCTTTAAAAGGTTCCACACACTGAGAGGAAAAGCCCTTGGATCAGCAAGGAATTGGGTCCACAAAGCCCCAGATAATCCAAGGCTGTGTGGATCTGTCATTCAGATAAGGCAGATCCGTTT